GTAGCTGGGTGGGCTCAAACTGCTGACGCTTGGTTAGCCTCTGAGCAGTTACCACTGTGCCACCAGGGCTCCTCCCAGGGTAGGGCCCTTCAGTCGCTAAGCCCTCCAGAGGGTCTGTAGCATAATCAGCCTGCTTTTGGGCCGCCCACCTGCTGGCCTGGCTTCAGTTTCCTCTGCTTTGCTGCATCTCTTCCCACTGATCCATCCCCTTTCCAGCTGTCAAAATGGGTTGCTTTTGAGCCCTGTATCGTTCTCTTAGTACTTAGAGGCTGATGTCAGTTTTTTTTCTTTTTCTTTTTTTGTCCTTTTGCTGTCCTTCTAGTGGGGTTTGGGGAAGGAGAGGAGGAAATGCATGTATTTGATCCACCATGTTTAACTGGAAGAACTTATTTTTGCCTGCTTTTTTTTTTTCAACACAGTTACTAGTGAGCTTGAACATCTTTTCATAATTTTATTGGTAATTTGCATTTCTTCTTTTGTGAATTTCTTGCTCATGTACTTTGCCCTTTTGAAATGTTTGTCTCTTTTCTATTAACTTATAAAAGCTCTTTTTATAGTATGGTTATTAACTTTTTGCCCCTCACATATATTGTATTTTCCCAGTTTTATCTTTCAAATACATGATGATTATAATGTATTTTATGTTTATGTCCTCAAAATCTATCCACTTTTTACTTAATGATTTCTGGGTACCACCTCATACTTAGAAATGTCTTCTCCACTGCAAGATTATAAAAAAATTTTACTCATATTTTCTTCTAACACTTTTAAGATTTTTTTTTTTTATATTTAAATGTTTCATCCATCTGGAATTTGTTTTGAAGCAGGGAATTAGGTATGGATCCAGATTTATTTTTTTTCCCAAATACGTAGCCAATTGTCCCAGCACCATTTATTGAACAAGCCATTTTTACCTCACTGATTTGAAATGGCTTTTTTATCATATGTACTTGAGTCTGTTCCTGGACTCTGTGTTTTGTTCACTCATATGTCTTTCTATTCCTGGGCCAGTACCGCTCTCTAGGAATTTCTGTCGCTTAATCTTGGATTTTAGTGTCTGGTAGGTCAAGAGTCCTCAGTCTTTTCTTCTAAATTTTCTGACTATCCTTATATGTTTGTCCTTCCAGATGAACTTTTACTTTCTAAAATAGATCCTCTTATGATCTTGAAAGGGCTCAAAAATTAATATATAAAAAAAAATCCTCAAAAGGTAGATCCCACCCTAAGAAAAAATATACCATAGATAACTATTTACTAGAAAAGATTACCGTCATCATCAACATCATCATCATCATCATCATTGTAATTCACTTTTCCCCTAGCAAATAAGGGTTATTGTTTCAATGTCACTTGATCTAAGGAAGTTCTTATTTATATTTAACAGAATTTTTTTTCAGCTACAATTTTCACCTCCCATATGTTTCTCTGGTCTTCAGTAGGATAATTTATTATGCTGCATTTAATATGATAGAATCTGGTGCATAGTTGGAGATAATTATGCCCAGGGCTACATTTCTTTTTCTTTTCTTTTCTTTTTTTTTTTTTTTTTTTTGATATCTTACAACTTTTTATTCATCCAGACTTTCTTTCTTTCTTTTTTAAGTTGTGCTTTAGAAGGTTTACAGAACAAACTAGGTTCTTATTAAACAGTTAGTACACATATTGTTTTGTGATATTGTTTACCAACCCCACAACATGTCAACACTCTCCCCTTCTTGACCTTGAGTTCCCTATTACCAGCTTTCCTGTCCCCTCCTGCCTTCTAGTCCTTGTCCCTAGGCTGGTATGCTCCTTTAGTCTTGTTTTGTTTTATGGACCTGTTTAATCTTTGGCTGAAGGGTGAACCTCAGGAGTGACTTCAGTACTGAGCTAAAAGGGTGTCCGGGAGCCATACTGTCAGGGTTTCTCCAATCTCTGTCAGACCAGTAAAGTCTGTTTTTTTTGTATGTTAGAATTTTGTTCCACATTTTTCTCCAGCTCTGACCAGGACCCTCTATTGTGATCCCTGTCAGAGCAGTCGGTGGTGGTAGCCAGGCACCATCTAGTTATGCTGGACTTAGTCTGGTGGAGGCTGTGGTAGTTGTGGTCCATTAGTCCTTTGGACTAATCTTTCCCAGGGATGTATTTCTAATAAAAGTCAAATGGAATTTTTCTCTCAACATAACTAAAAACCCAGTTCCTTATTTTAAACTGATTTTCATATAAAGCATTATGAACCTGAAGATCTCAAATCACAAAAAGAAAAGGACCCAGGGTGTTCTATAGATTAGAACTTTTAGTTCAGATAATTGGCCCTTGGTGTAAGGACCTTTCTACAAAACTCTCATATCATGTCTTATTTATCCTCACAGTATGCCAGTGAAGTAGAAAAGAGCAGCTATTATATCAATCTCTAGTTTTCATATTACAGGTTAGTGATGTGCCCAAGGTCACCTGAAGAACCATCAGCTCAGGGTTTTGTCCTGGGTGGTACTAGGTGTTTGCCTGGCTCAGTTCCCCAAACCCGTTCAATGTTTTTTTCCCCCAAAGCAGAAGTCAGCAGAGAGGGGCCTATCAAACAAAGGAAGGTTTTCACTAAGGCTTTGCCCCTGGAACTCAGCACTTGAGCCAGTTGCTATGACCTCCATTTGAGTATCAAGGACCACCTGGTGGGACCATCACCTGGTGGGACCATCACCTGGTGGGATCACCCCCTAGTGAGATTACTCCCTGGTGAGATCACCCCCTGATGAGATTACTCCCTAGTGGGACCATTACCTGGTGGGATCACCCCCGGTGAGACCATTACCTTGTGGGATCACCCGCTGGTGAGATTACTCCCTGGTGGGACCATCACCTGCTGGGATAACCCCCTGGTGGGCAGTATAGGGAGTCATGGAGAAGCTGCCATCATCACCCGCTGCTCCACCCACTTTCTCTTTTCTGACATTGTCCAGTAAGCCCTGGCATTGTGCAAATGTTACCCAAGCCCCTACTTATCTGTGTCACCAAGAGCCTTGTTCTCTTTTGTAGGGAATCGCTCAAGCCTCTGACAAAAACATAGATTTTATTATGGATGCTGTTTACCTCAAGTCCAAGAAATCCTAGACTGAACTAGGGTGGCATTTGTTTCTTTCATCTGTCAGAACTGCTTACACCATTGGGGGAAAACATAGGGAGGATATCTGGTTAACATCAAGTTTGTATAACAAATGTTTTATTTGCCATCTCTTCTTTGCCATCATTGGGGACTTTAGCTTTCAAACAGTATCTTCTAACACTACTAGACTAGGGATTTATCTATTTATGCTGTCTGTGAATGTTATAAGATTATGTCTTTCCTGTGACTGTCCTTAAAGGTTTCAAATGACCAAATTTGGTGGAGTAACAGTAATCAGGTGAAGGCAGCATGTGGGCAGACTCAGTCGGTCATCCAAAATCTGTCCTGGGGATAGGCTGTGTGTTCTCAGCTCAATCTTTAAGGGCTCTGCCAGGATACTACTTCCCTTCCCTGGGGCCATACTTTAAATTCAACCCTCAATAACAATGCCATCTTAACTGGGGGCACTAACACATCCCAAACAAGGAGAGCCCTGGTTAGCTCTCTCTAAAACTTGAACTAAAAAAAAAAAAAAAAACTTGCCTGCTAGTAGACTCCCAGCTCATGGCAACCCCATGTGTGTTAGAGCAGAACTGTGCTCCATAAGATTTTCAATGGCTGATTTTTCAGAAGTAGATCTCCATATTGCCGGGTGGAAACCCCAGGTTCTGCTTGGCACAACTTGTCTCAGCCAATAAACGAGAGGCTGAAGTGGGAGAGTAGAAAGGCACCTTTATTTGTTGTTCAAGGAAAGGTAACAGTCAGGGCTGCTGCCCCCAAGACTGCTCAGCGAGCGTGAGGAGGAAGGTTACTTTTAAGGGGTTTACAAGTAGGAAGTTCTTAGAAGTTACATGACCAACATCTTTAATCATACTATGCAGGCGCAATGGGGTTTACATATAGCTTCATGTGTCACATGCTCAGAAAATGGCAGTTAAACTCCACCCAGAGGCGAGGAAGTTACTATGTATGAGGTATTTAATGAGCTAAACGGTTATCCTGAATGTCAACATGGTGCCTAAACTGGTTTCCACCAATTTCCTCTAGTTTGGGGCAGCAGTTAAGGAGAGGAGAACCAGGATTTTAATGTAAAGCTACGGAGTGTATCAAGCAAGCTGCTTTAGGCAGTGAAATTGTCTGCATCCTGAGGATCTCTGTCTTATCCAGGCCTTACTTCTGAGCATCTCTGGGTGGACTGGAACCTCTAGCCTTTTGATTAGCAACCAAGCGTGTTAACCGTTTGCATCACCCAGGGACCTCAAACCATGAACTGGGAGATATTTACTCATTGGCATCATTTAAGACACCAGCAAAACACGCTGTAGTAGGGGTGCTGAGATCCCTACATCATATTCCAGAAGCAAGGGTGACACTTTTTGCTTATTAGGAGACCACCTTATACAACCTTGACTGAATTGCCAAAACTGAGCCACGGGAATTGAGCCTTATCTGGTTCTCTGACCTAGGAGCCAGAATCAAGTATTTATTAATAACGACCTGAACACTGGTTTTTTAGTTCTGTAAGCAAACATTTTATTAGGACTTTCATCCTAAATTATTCCAGCCTTGGTGGCACGGTGGTTAAGTGCTCGGCTGCTAACTGAAAGGTCAGTAGTTCGAACCCACCAGCTGCTCTGTGGGAGAAAGATGTGACAGTCTGCTTCCAGAAATATTAAAACCAAACCAAACCCATTGCCCTCAGTCCGATTCCGACTCATAGCGACCCTATAGGACAGAGTAGAACTGCCCCATAGGGTTTCCAAGGAACAGCTGGTGGATTTGAACTGCAGACCTTTTGGTTAGCAGCCGAATGCTTAACCACTGTATCACCAGGGCACCATCCAGCTTTGGAAATCCTATGGGGCAGTTCTACTCTGTCCCATAAGTTCATTGACTTGACAGCAATAAGTTTAGAGTGTTTTGTTTTGTTTTTTTGGTAGCGGACATCACTATTTTTCATGGTTTGAATTTCACATACAATGCTTTAAAATACAAGATAAGAAGACAAGGAAATTTTAATAAAGGCCCTATTTATGTTTTTCAGATATCCCGCATCAAGCTTTCTTTGGATGATGAGTGGAAGTAAGTGATTAATATTCTTTATAGCTCTTGTACTAAAAATTAGATTTTCATCTTAACAGTTTGAGAAATGGAATGAAATCGCCTTAGTTGTAAGTTTCCATCTAGAGAAGGTGTGTTAGGACAGCAACGTGGGGTTGTGTGCACAAAAATGCTCTAGACCAAAATCAGATGAATTTTTATGTTTTCTACAGTGTGCTCCATGCTAGCCCACAAAGCTGTATTTACATATCCTTCATAATATGGCAGTATCAAGTTTAGTGTTTACTTCAGGCACATGGTACACCTTGTTTTCTTTAGCTGATGTTTCCCCTGGGGTGCAGTCCCTACTGTGGGTTCACTGGGCCCTGTGGGTACCACATGAAATGAAATAAAAATGAAAAGTTCCTTCTTTATTGTATTATAGGAAACTATTATGATGTATTCCTGCTCAAAATAAGGAATACTTATTACATTTGTATACCACTTTATACTTTTCAAAGCACTTCCATGTAGGTTAACCTATTTGAGATACTTTTTCATGATATATACACAACAGTGTTACAAAGCGTATTTTGTCTTATAGACAATGTAAGTCCTATTTTAGGCTGATGATAAATTTATTCTTCTATTTACATTGTCTAAGTTGAAAGCCTATTAATGACGTGGAATATTAAGTAGTGATTTTGGATTTGGGGCTATAAAAGCCATAACTAAGTTCTTGTATCCTTCTCATTTTTCTTCTCTTCCCGCTTATTCAGGGGAACGAGTGTATATTTTTTATGAGCCTCTACAAATCATTCTTGTCTCCTGCACTCACCTTCCAGCACAAAGGCTAACATCATGTAATTTTATTCAGGTCGCTTACCTGATCTGGACTTTAGCTTCTCCATTTGAAAAATGAAGGGGTTTCAGTACGTCTGTGGTCCCTTCCAGCCCTGACTTAGAGGTTGAACTCAAGCGGAAATGGTTTGACTCCGTGGACTAATTTCTACACTTTCTCCAGCAGGGGGTACCCCTGGGATTTGGATGGGGCCCTTTCTGAAGCACGCAGTAAGTCTCTACTGCTTAGAGTAGTTGTAGAAATGCTGGTAAAGGGAGAGAACCCAAAGCGCAGAGCCAACAAAAGCCTTTAAGAGGTCACACTGTAACCAATCATAAGTGGAAACCTAACTTTAAGATGTTTTGTGACTGGTGGTGCTCCAATGGGGCTGAAAGATGGTGCTCATATTTATTAGGTTATTAATTGGCATAATTAATGATTTTCCCCCTTTTCCCTGATTTTCACGTTAGGCCTCTTTTTCTTCCTGTAGGCCAGTGGTTCTCAATCTTGGCTGTACCTTAGAATAATGTGGAAGCTTTAAAAATTACTGATGCAGGATTCCATCCCCAGAAATTGCCATTTAATTGATCTGGGGTACAGCTTGGATATTGGGATTTTTTAAAGCTACTCAGTAATTCCGGTAGTGCAGTGGTTAATCACTCAGCTGCTAACCAGAAGGTTGGCAATTTGAACCCACCAGCCGCTCCGAGGGAGAAAGATGTGGCAGTCTGCTTCTGTAAAGATTATAGCCTTGGAAACCCTACGCAGCAGTTCTACTCTGTCTTATACAGCTCTGAGTCAGAATCGACTCGACAGCAATGGGTTCGGTTTTGGGGTTTTACCCAATAATTTCTAACTTCCAGCCAAGGTTGAGAACCACTGCTCTAGGCTTTCTTCAAGGCCACTTCTACTGTAGGAAGTTAAACCAGATGACATAGTATCTTAGTGATTTTCTCTATCATTGTGCAAAACTAAGAGTCCAACCAAAAATGGAAAATTTCAGCCATCGTCTGAATGTGCATGTCTAAGATAATACTTGGACCAATTCTTTCTCCCTATCATGAAAACAATTTACAACTCACTCAGGAACTTTCCATAGCCCCATGGATTATATACCCTCGTTAGCAGAGGCACCATCTACAGTGTATCCTTTTACTTGAAAATAATGGAAATTACTTGAAATTAACAATATTCTATTGTTTTTTACTTTCAAAAATGGCAATTTTATATGATTCGACCTAATAGTTATTATTATTCCTGATATAGGTACAAATAAAATAACATACGCATGTCAGTTTTACACCGTGAGTTATAGAGGGATAGTTATCTTAAATCTGCAAATGAGAAAACTGAGGCTCAGAGAAGATAAACGACTTTCCCAAGGCTACATGGTGATTAAGTAGCAGATCCAGGACTGGAACTCAAGTCTTCCTGGGGCACTGATCAGTGTTTTTGGCTCCATCACTTAGCTTGAAAAGACAAGGCTGAGGCCAAAACCAACCAGAAAGCAAAGGGTTGGGAGGAATTGGTTTTGCTGATAGAACCAGGCTCCTCCTCTTATCTGCTTATTTCCCAAACCTGGAGCATGGGAAGAACCAAGATACAATTATGAAAACTTTGTAATCACAGCTTGACAGCCCCTATCTTTGAAACTTCTAATTGCCTCACTTGAGTCCAGCCTGTTACATTTTCATTTGCTAAACGTGCAGGGGTTGAGGGCTTTTTCAGATCGCTTCATTTGCTAGTTCCAGCCTTCAGCAAGACAGGATGTACAAGATACACCGGGACCACAAGTCCATGCACGTGGAGATGATCTTGATCTTCCTTTGCGCCCTGGTCACCGCGCAGGTACAGTGGAGACAGAGGCATGGCCGGTCCTACAACGTGAGTCACCACCGCTTGTCCTTGCTGCCACGTTCTTCCTTTCTTATTGCTTTGAAGGAAATAAAAAACCAGTTACTGCCAAGTTGATTCTGACTCAAGGTGACCCTATATGTGTCAAAGTAGAACCGTGCTCCATAGGATTTTCAAAGTAGTAGATCACCAGGTTTTTCTTCCTAGGCACCTCTAGGTGGACTCCAACTTCTAACCTTTCAGTTAGCAGCTGATGGCGTTAACCGTTTGCACCACCCAGGGACACTGGTGCTTTGGTTTGAATCAGTGGTTCTCATGACAGGATGGGGGGCATTTTGCACCCAGGGAACATTTGGCAATGTCTGGAAACAATTTTTTTTTTTTAATTGTGCTTTAGGTGGTACAGAGCAAGTTAGTTTCCCATTCAATAGTTTATATACAAATTGTTCCATCACACTGGTTGCAATCCCCAAAGTGTGTCAGCACTCTCCCCATTACCACCCTGAGTTCCCCATTTCCATTCATCCAGTTTTCCTGCCCCTTCCTGCCTTCTCATCATTGCTTTTGGACAGATGTTGCCCTTTTGGTCTCATAAAGATGATTGTTCTAAAGAGCGCTTTCCTCACAAGTGTTATTGTTTATTTTGTAAGCCTGTCTATTACTTGGCTGAAAGGTAATTTCCTGGAATGGCTTCAGTTAGAAATTAGAAGGGTGTCTAAGGACCATAGTCTTGGGGTTCCTCCAGTCTCTCTCAGACTAGTAAATCTGATCCTTTTTATGAATTTGAATTTTGTTCCACATTTTTTTCCCCTCTCTAACCGGGACCTTTTTTTTATTATACACTGCTGGTGGGAATGTAGAATGGTGCAAACACTATGGAAAATGGTATGGTGCTTCCTTAAAAAGCTAGAACTAGAAATACAGTATGATCCAGCAATCCCAATCCTAGGTATATATCCTAGAGAAAAAAGAGCCATGACAAGAATAGACATATGCACACCCATGTTCATTGCAGCATTATTCACAATAGCAAAAAGATGGAAACAACCTAAGTGCCCATCAATGGACGAATGGATAAACAAACGGTGGTACATACACACAATGGAGTACTACGCAACGATAAAGAATAATGATGAATCTTTTTTGTCGTACTGTGGTAGCTTGCATGTTGATGTAATGCTGGAAGCTATACCACCAGTATTTCAAATACCAGCAGGGTCACCCATGATGGACAGGTTTCAATGGAGCTTACAGACTAAGATAGACTAGGAAGAAGGACCTGGTGATCTACTTCTGAAAAATTAGCCAGTGAAAACTTTATGAATAGCAGTGGAACATTATTTGATATAGTGCTAGAAGATGAGCCCCTCAGGTTGGAAGGCACTAAAAGACAACTGGGGAAGAGCTACCTCCTCAAAGCAGAGTCGACCTTAATGACGTGGATGGAATCAAGCTTTTGGGATTTCATTTGCTGAGGTGGCATGACTCAAAATGTGAAGTAACAGCTGCAAACATCCATTAATAATCAGAACGTGGAATGTACAAAGTATGAATCTCGGAAATCTAGAAGCCATCAAAAAATGAAATAGAATGCATAAAGATTGATATCCTAGCATTAGTGAGCTGAAATGGACTGGTATTGGCCATTGTGAATCAGATAATCATATGGTCTACTATGCCAGGAATGACAAATGGAAGAGGAATGGCATCGCATTCATCAACAAAAAGAACATTTCAAGATCTATGCAGAAGTACAATGCTGTCAGTGATAGGATAATATCCATACGCCTAAAAGGAAGACCAGTTAACACAACTATTATTCAAATTTACACATAAATCTCTAATGCCAGAGATGAATAAATTGAAGATTTTTACCAACTTCTGCAGTCTGAAACTGATCAAACATGCAATCAAGACTCACTGATAATTGCTGGTAATTGGAATATGAAAGTTGGAAACAAAGAAGGATCTGTAGTTGGAAAATATGGCCATGGTGATAGAAATGACGCCAGAGATTGCATGATAGAATTTTGCAAGACCAACGACTTATCCTCGCAATACCTTTTTTCAACAACATAAACGGTGACTGTACACATGGATCTCACCAGATGGAATACACAGAAATCAAACAGATTATATTTGTGGAACGAGACAATGGAGAAGCTCAATGTCATCAGTAAGAATAAGACCAGGGGCTGACTGCAGAACAGACCATCAATTGTTCCTATGCAAGTTCAAGTTGAAGCTGAAGAAACTTAAAACAAGTCCACAAGAGCCAAATTATGACCTGAGTATATCCCACCTGGATTTAGAGACATCTCAAGAATAGATTTGACACGTTGAACACTAATGACTGAAGACCAGACAAGTTGTGGAATGACATCAAGGACATCATACATGAAGAAACCAAAAGGTCATTTAAAAGACAGGAAAGAAAGAAAAGACCAAAATGGTTGTCAGAAGAGACTCTGAAAGTTACTCTTGAATGTAGAGTAGCTAAAGTGATCAGAAGAAATGATGAAGTGAAAGAGCTGAATAGAAGATTTCAAAGGGTGGCCCAAGAAGACAAAGTAAAGTATTATAATGAAATGTGCAAAGACCTGGAGATAGAAAACCAAAAGGGAAGAACATGCTTGACATCCCTCAAGCTGAAAGAATGGAAGAAAAAAATTCAAGCCTTGAGTCATAGTATTGACAGATTCTATGGGCAAAACATTGAACGACTCAGGAAGCATCAAAAGAAGATGGAAGGAACACACAGAGTCAGTATACTAAAAAGAATTGGTCAACATTCAACCATTTCATAAGACAGCATGATCACGAGCTAATGGTATTGAAAGAAGAAGTCCAAGCTGCACTGAAGGCATTGGTGAAAAACAAGACTCCAGGAATTGATAGAATACTAATTGAGATGTTTCAACAAATGAATGCAACGTTGGAAATGCTCACTCGTTTATGCCAAGAAATTTGGAAGACAGCTACCTGGCCAACCACTGGAAGAGATCCATATTTGTGCCCTTTCCAAAGAAAGGTGATCCAACAAAATGCAGAAATTCATTAATATCACACACAAGTAAAATTTTGCTGACTATCATTCAAAAGCTGTTGCAACTACCAGAAATTCAGGCTTGATGCAGAAGACGACATGGAATGAGAGATATCATTGCTGATGTCAGATGGATCTTGGCTGAAATCAGAGAATACCAGAAAGATGTTTTTCTGTTTCTTATTGACTATGCAAAGACATCTGACTGTGTGGATCATAATGGATAATACTGCGAAGAATGGGAATTCCAGAACACTTAATTGTGCTCATGCGGAACCTGTACATAGACCAAGAGGTAGTCATTTGAACAGAACAAAGGGATACTGCATGGTTTAAAATCAGGAAAGGTGTCCATGAGGGGTGTATCCTTTCATCATACTTATTCAATCTGTATCCTGAGCAAATAATCTGAGAAGCTAGACTATATGAAGAAGAATTCAGCATCAGGATTGGAGTAAGACTCATTAACAACCTACAATATGCAGATAACACATGCTGAAAGCAAAGAGGACTTGAATCACTTACTGATGAAGAGCAAAGACTAAATCCTTCAATATGCATTACTATCAACATAAAGAAAACAAAAATCCTCACAACTGGACCAATAAGCAATATCATGATAAATGGAGGAAATACCGAAGTTGTAAAGGATTTAATTTTACTTGGATCCACTATCAATGCCCATGGAAGCAACAGTCAAAAAATCAAATGAGACTTCTGGCAACATGGCGCTCTAGGCAGAAGCACCACGCTGTCCCTCTACAGCAAAGATCCAAAAAACTAAGCCAAATGGAGAAAACAGCAGTCCTGAAACCCTAAAACATCAAATTAAGAGATAAAGAACTCAGCCAAACACCGAATGGAATAAGAAACTGACAGAGAACAGAGAGCAAGGAGACATATAAGCAGAGGTCCCCTATCAGCTAATACAGCATGGATCCACCATCCTGGACTCCTATCAGAGACCAGCAAATAGGGGGTACGAGAAAGCAGCTTCATGGAGCTTCCAGCAGGAGACAGAACAACCAGTAACTGGCAATATATGCTTTCCAGCCTCCCACCCTTCTTCACCCTCACTCGGCCTCCTCTGCTTCCCACAGCCACAGTCTCTTGGCTGGGAAGCACTGACTGCTTGGATTCCACCCACCCACACTGGGTGACTTCCTGAGTGCCATTTTTTGGCTGCTGGTGTTGCTTTTGTCCACTTCTTTTGATTTCTTCCTTACTTCTCACCACTTCCCCTTCCCTTTGCTCAAATACCTGGCTCCATGCACCATCTTTGCTTCTTGCTGAGGGCCTGTGAAGCTCCACTGGAGTGTGGAACTGCTTCCCTGTCCATGCTACCACGCTGGTGAGATCCTGGGGCTTTTTGTTTGTTTGTTTGTTTTGAATTGTTTATTTGTTTTCTTTTTCTTTTCTCGAGCTGGGAACCTGCTCTGGCTGGGCAGTGCTGCACAGCTTGGGACCTACCCCCTCAGCTTGCACAGATGCGCAGAGGGATCCCTGAGAGCATTTCTTTTTCCATGGTTTTTTTTGTTTGTTTGTTTTGTTTTTGGGGGGGGGTTTCATGTTCTTTTTTTAAAAATTTGTTTTGTTTTCTTTTCCCTTTTTGTCTTTCTTCATTACTCAGTTTTCTTGTCTCTATACCTTCCTACTCTTCCTGTACACTGAATAACTGCCGCTGAGTGACACCTCTACGCCTTCTAGCCAGGCTGTACTTCAACGCCTGGGAACAACATCCGCAGACCTCATAGCTGCACCAGTGGGATCCCTGGGAGCTATTCTTTTTTCTTTCTAATTTTTATTTATTCATTCTTTTCTTTTTCTACTTCTTCTTTCCCTTTTTGCTTTTCTCCATTTCATAGTTTCTCATCTCTCCACTCCAACAGCAAGCTCCCCTAGCACTCTTTTTCATTTATGTGTTTTCAGCTCCTGTTCCTCTCTCCTCTCTCCCATACCCATCTTAGCTCCACACATCACAGTT